GTCTTCAAAAACATCATCTTGGCTAGCACGCATGTCAAATACACGATCATATATGTGTTGCTTTCTTTTGTCGTCTTTCCAGGGATGTTCGACTGTAAACTCATCCACACTTGTTAGCATTTGTTTTTCTCTCTCTGATCGCTCTTTTTCATTTAGAGGTCTTATTCGACAGTATACCCTGATTTTCCCCTTCATATCTACAATAAATACAAAAATAATAAATATATATATAACCAAATTTAGAAAACCGATAAATGAATCGTATTGCAATTACTTGAGCATCATTTTACCTTCTATGGTATTATAGTATCTTTTCCTTAAAACTTGTTCTTCCTTGTAAAGTATTTCTAACTCAGCAAGTTGGGCTCCTTGCATCTTCAAAATCGCAGCTGTTTGCTCATTCTTTCTGTCAATGTCCTACAAACATGATATTGGAATGGAAGATCTCACCATCATTTTATATTTTTAGCTAAATAACGAAAATACATTTTCAACATTCAAATAAAAACAATAATAAAACGATGAAGAGGACTTAAAGGGTACAAATATAAAGGGTCCAAATACCTCTTTCATTTCTCTTAACTCATCAAGCTCTTTCAAATTATTCCGCAACAGCAACATATCAGTAGTCTTACTTTCAATCGTAGACTCAGCTTTACCCAAGTCTTGAGTAAGGACATCAAGCTTCTTTTCAAGTTCAGAAACTCGAAGCTTTAACACCTTTCTTTCTTGTTCATGTCTCTTTTGGTGAATTTCAGCCTGAAATGTTCAAGAGTCAGCAATACGCTAGTATTTCTTACTTACCAATTCTAAATTAACCATAAATCTAATACATCATATTCACCTCCTCTGTTTTCTTATTTTCAATATTGAAAACACTTTGCTCCAATATTTTGTTCTCACTCAACAACCTCTTTGAATTCTCAATTGCAATGTGCAATTCCTTATTCCGGACTTCTAACTCGGTTTGGATTTTGTATAATCTCTGTGGAAAATTCATTGTTTTAGAAAAACAGAATCGCTTACAAAGAAAAACATAAATCTACTCAATACGCACACCGACTATGAACCACATTTTAACACATGATATATATTCACCTGATTAGTCATATCAGTTAATTCTGATTTTGCCTCTTTACTTGATTTTGTGTTGCCCGACTTTGCCAACCTTGCTTCCATTCCTCGCAGCTCAGACATCAAGGTCTACAGTATATAAAATGAATAAATAAACAAGTCCAACCAAGCAAAAGAAGGAAGAGAAGGTTATGTTGTAACTACTTGAATAGTTGTTCCTTTCTCGTCACACAACGACTGAAGCTTATCACGGTCAATGGTAACCTCCAACGTTTTTTTTCGTTCAAGCTCTAAGTTATTGCGTATGGCTTCTAACTCTTCACGCAGAGTAACTTCTTGCAGATGTTTCTCTCGCAGTTCATCCATCAACTATACAACATGAAAATGTGGTAGTAGTTCATCAGCATCAACTCTAAAAAAAAAGATAAGAGGCCAGGAAATAACATTCTACATACAATAATATGAAAATAGTGAGGAGGGGGTGAAAAGTAGTACATTTATCTCACAACTGCCAGAGATAACGATCCATGATAAATCTAACTGTACAATCTTATTTCATGTGTCCCGACAGAGTTAACTTTCCCTTTATAAATTCAGTTTTACACGACCAAGAAACATGAAATCTCAAAGAATATGTACCTTATCATTTTTTTTCTGGGACTCTTCAAAAGCCTTAGACAAATCTTGCACACATTTTTCATTCACTTCAAGAATTTGTGGCTTAGAACTGCAGGATATATCTCCATTAACCAAGCTATTGGCAGCATATCGAGCTTTGGAATAACGACGCAACATAACATCATTTATATGTGTTTGTAAAGCAACGCAGATTTCTTCTCCCTGCGAAGAATAACCGGTGGATCACATTTACAAGTTACTATTATCTGGTAAATAACTGCAATAATAATGATCGTAAAACAATGATGGTTGAACCTGTTTTGTCTCAAACTGAAATATGTGAAGAACACCAGCAACTCTCATTTTGAAAAAGACAGCAGTGTTGCTGCTGCCAAATTGCATTATGTCACGTAATTCAGCTGAATGCAGATATTCTTTAGGAACCGGTCGAAAAAAGTGAACCTACAAGGAAGTACAACAAGTTCAAATCCAAAAAAAAAATACATTAGAATTCCAAAGAACAATAACATTTTGTTCAAAACTGACCCCACGTTTGTTGATGCCCAAAATAATTCGTCCAGGTAAAAGGCCAATCGGATCATCTATCTTGCGTATGCTAAAAAACACAGAATTCCCATATGGTATTGCTTTCAATATCCGTAAAAACTGTTGTCTTGCATCATCTTTGGTCAAGTTCTCCTACATTCCCTCAGATACATACGAAGGAAGTTTATAGCATGCTATCACTTCAATCGGATTGTATTTGGCAAAAGGTATCTGATAAGGGTAATATCCAACTATTTAAAATGCTTGGGGTCATTCCTACCATTGAACTGTATCGAGCAAGGATATCTAGTTCCCATTCACGCTTGGCTCGGGATATTGCTATTTGTCTCGGCAAAAACCGCTCAAGAAGTGATGTCCAGTCACTGATCCGTGAGCCAATGAGAAAGAAAACGATATTATAAAGGTTACTTTGGAAACAAGCAAGCATCTTAAGCTTTGCTAAGGAGTTTAGAATACCAACATGCATGACTCCGGACTATTGACAAACCCAATGCCAACAAGAATTTGTAAGGCACAAAGCTGAGCAGCATCATCCCTTCCAACAGGATAGTTTCCTAGCAAATAGTCATGTTGCAGCTGCATGCATGCATGCGTATCAGCAACGAAATGCAAGTTTTCATGTGAAAATAAATGTGTCATTAGTGAATAAACTGCTCACCTGTACATAGGAAAGCTGCACAAACATGAGATCTGTTACAGCTTCATCAGACTCTCGGAATAATTTTTTTTTAAATACAAGTTTGCAGTGTAGTATCTCTCCTTTATTTCTATCTTTTATAGCTTTGAATTCTCCGAGGAGATCTCCAATATACTTGTTATCATCCAATCCTATATATTCCTCTGCAAATCACAGATAGAATAATGTAGTAATAGTAGGAATAAGGCATTAAGAACATGATCAAGAAAGTAGCATGAAAGCATACCATTTCCGGGATCAGATGATTTGGAAGTTGAAACCACTTTACGACATTCAAACAAACTGAAGCTAGAAAAGGCTGATAGTTTGATTGTCCCAGCTAGCTCCTGATATGTACGGATATGTCCAATTAGTTAGCTCCGAAAGCAAAGGGAGACAAGAAAACGAAATGCTTGAACGAGCTGCTACTTAAAACAAATGCATTACTCAGTTTTACTGCTTTGAACAAGAATATCATGACGACCAGGTAGCAGTGCAATGCAAGGAACAAAATGATGATAGAGAAAAAAGAAGGGAAATGAAGAGGATACCTCAACAGCATCAGAAACTGTTGTAGCCATGTCATAGGAAATTTCTTCAAAAGTTTCATCGAGAAAGAAGACAATGGTTGTAAGCTTTTTACCGGTCAAAAGAGCTTCAATCTCTTCACGGGCAGGGGTGGTATGCCTAGGACCAGCTTTGATAGAGCGCTTTAAGGCCTTCAAAGTATTAAGAGAAAGAACATGGACCTCTGGTTCAGTAGTTGCATCGTGTGCGACATTGTGAATATACTCAGAGAGATATCCACCGATATCTTTGCTAGGAGGCATTGAGGACGCACATAAGTACATGAGTTCCCACGCTCTTATCAAGTATTGCCTGAGATTATGCAGAAAAGGGTAAATATAAAAGTAAATGGTAACTGCGGGAGGGAGGCAGGGAAAGTAAAAAGGGGGAAGGCACCTACCTGTCAGGATTATGTCTAGTCTGCTTGGAGATTTGGGCAAAAAGTTCGTCCCTGAGTTCAACAGGCTTCAAAGTTTTCTTGAAAAGCTTTGCAGAAAGGTCAATGCGTTCATCTAAAGAGGGTGGAGTAGAAGAATCGACGCCCATATACTTTAAGATGAGAAGAAACAACTTGGTAGCACGGCTGACGAGATCGCTGTTTATCTTGAGCAGGGATGTGGGGATAGGATCCTAAACGAAGGAGAGCACAAAGTAGTCAATATATATGTAATATGTTGTTAGTGGAGCACAGGAAGAAAGAGGAAAAGAGAGACCTTCTGGAAGCAAAGCATGTCCTCGAAAGTGAAGCGCTCTTTTTGGAGATGAGAGCCCGAAGACTTTTTGGAATAGAAGAAGCCACGCTTGCCACCAGACTGGATTTGCTTCTGCATAAGCCGCAGAAAAGCTTCAACCTGGAACCGATCAATGAGGGGAATGGCAGCAGCTAGGTCCGCAGGAATTGACACTTGAGAAGCTGGGGAGCTGCTGCTGCTGCTGCTGGGGTCAATAAATTAATAATGTTGCCAAAATTCTGATAGAGAAAAAAAAAGGAGGGAGGGAGCAAACACTTACAGAGGAGGAAGAGTAGACGACGATTCGGCATCGAAGTCGGTCCCAGAGGGATTGGGAACATAAAAGCAAGAAGAAGAAGCATCGGCTACGACTTCGCTGCCATTGCCAGAGCTCAGTGAAGAATTACTTCCTCGTTGGCCATCCATGAGACCAAACTGTAGATCTGGAGAGCACAATTTGACCACACAGAGAGAGAGAGAGTCACGGAAGATATTTAATTGCCTTTTCTTCCCATTCAATACTACTTGACGATTCAGCTGATTGTTTTCTTAGTTCAAATCTGAAGGAGGGATCACTCGCCGTCGTTGTCGTTGTCCTTGTCATTGTCTTGTGTGGGTTTAAACTAAATACATGAATTGCAAAAAAATAAAAAATAGACGTGCCTCCACGTTTATATGGTTGTGCCTCCCAACACCAGAAAAACATAATGTTCTCCTTTTTTCTGTTGGCGAAGAACACAAAATCTTCTTAATATCAATAAGTATCTCTTTGATTTGGTGTCATCTTTCATTACAATAATTATTTTTTGATTGCCTTCCATTTATGCATTATTATCAATACGTGTATGTATGTATATATGCAAAGGCCAGTTCAACACAAAAGCCTAGTTTACAACATTTATTTTCCTTTTTCAGACCTAAACCAATAGTGCTCCATCACCTTTTCTCCACTTCACAGCTTTGCCATTGCTAAGGCAGGCAAATTTTTCCTTGGTGGAAGCTTTAGATCCTCCTCTTCCTCCACTCTCTTGAAGTACTGATCTACCATCCCCTCCTTCATCTCCTCCAGCCGCCATGGCTCCCACTGTAATTGAAGTGGTACAGCATTATATATATATGACATTACCACCGCAAAAAAAAAAAAAAAAAAGAAAATTGGACACAGAATTTTTTGTGTTAAACCTTTGGATTCTTATCTTTGTCTATCAATATGGCTCTGCACCCCTGCATAAGAGAGACACGATCTTGTAATTATGTCTTGACAGTTTCAAAATGAAGAATATACAATAGGAGAAGCTGACTGGACCTCCACAAAATCTTTGCTTATATCTCCCTTTAGCACATGACACACCATTCTATACTCACGGCTAAGGCACTGCCCCACCCCCTGCAATCGTCCTTCTCTTATCTGAAATTACAAACCCACAGTCAGCTCTTTCCATCATTCTCTGTGAATAGGTGTGATGCAACTAACCGATCTAAGAGAGATTTTAAGGCTTGCGGGTGAAGCCTTTTTCAATGCTTGAATAGTGGCTGAGATCCATTCATCGCCTCCATGGGTGTTCTCTCTCTCCTAAGCAGCACATACGATGGTAGAGAGCATCGTCAAAGGTATATCAGCCAACTTAGAATCGCAAGCTAACATATCAGCTATATCGATGGAAAACTCACAAGTGCAGCTATAATTTCTTCCACTGTTCTCCCCGAGAAGCACCTATCAATAACATCCAACCTGCGGAAAAAAAAAAACAGAAAGATAAGAAACAGCTGGCCTTTGTTCCGCACAAATCTTCCATTCCAGTTCTAATGAGAAATGGATTACCTAAAACATGATAAATACGTAATGTGATCATGATACATAACAGATCAAATGTTTTAGAACATGGCATAGAATGCGCGAGATTTTGGCATGGCAAAAGATACTCAGCAAACTCCGGTAAAATAGAAAGAATTAAAGATACGATCATATACACTTGCCTGTGGTAAGCACTCTGCTGTTTCAGGTGCGGTTTCTGAGAATATGCATCGAGAATTGTTGAGACAAAGGTTGGATCACTTGAATCAACTCTGCAGAGTTCTGCTTCCAAAGCAGTCAACCTCTGTACAAGGAGTAACCTGACTAAGTAACAATCCTTTGCAAAGTAAATAGTGATTGACACTAGTCAGACACCACAAAAACTCAAGTGTAAAAATTCACTCAGAAGGTACAAGGAACCTCAAACATTCCTTGGCATGACAATGATAAATAGAGACATAACTATTAGAGAGTTTGTAAATGTCCATTGTGCCAGTTCAGCTAAAAACCCATATGAACAACCCAAGCATGTAAAGTTCCTATTACACAGGCAATGGGAATAACCAAAAGATTTAAGCAAGAGAGACCCATACAGTTGAAGGCAGATAATGAGTTGCAAGACCACAAGCAAGCATTTCAGAGCCATCTAACCTAGCTCCTGTGAGTCCAACATACTCTCCTGAACAAGAAGATAAGAAGGGTGCGAGAGGGAGAAACTTTAGTGAATTCTGAAGGAAATGCAGAAACAAATGACTTATGTTACCAAAAAAGCCAGGGAGCCTAGACAAGAAGAAGGATGCGCCTACATCCGGAAAGAGTCCCAGAACTGTCTCGGGCATGGCAAAAAGCTAGGAAGGAGAAAACGAAAAAGATATGAGCATATAGTTGAGAGCAATCTATTTGGAAATGATCATAAAGAAAAAGAATACCGTGTTCTCAGTTGCAATACGAAACCGACCATGGACAGAGACACCAGCGCCGCCTCCCATGACAATACCATTCAAAATTGAAACCTAAAAGTGAACAGATGAGCTTAGTGATTCACTGAAAGGAGGGAGAGTAGGGTGGGACCTGAGTTTTGCTATAGGTGGCCATAACATAGTTGAGCATGTATTCATCTGAGAAGAACTTGGCACCAAGTCTCCACTTGCCTAGTTCACGGACGGAAATAGAGAAAGTGAAGTAGAAAGTAGGAAAAGGAAAAGGAAAAGAAAGGAATGATGATAATGCATAATACCTAGTCTGATGTCACGAACAACAGCTGAAACATCACCACCAGCACAAAAGGCTCTTCCCTGACCCTGTGGCAAAAGTTATTCCACTGTTTTGTGTGTGTATGAAAACAGAAGAGATAATAAGGATAGTGATTACCTACCTTAAGGATAACAATTTTCACACTAGAATCCTCCTCATATTCAAGGAACAGTTGCAGCAACCGAGAGATCTAGAGAGGATGGATTGAGTAAACTAATTGCGCAATAAGGAGGAAGAATCAAAGTAAAACAGTAAAAATTCAATACCATTTGGAAGGACAGAGCGTTCAGCTGCTTTGGTCTGTTCAGTGTCAAGATTCTAACACTCGATTTCTCTTCCACCAAAACCTGTGACAAAAATTGGTTCAGTGCGAGTGGGGGATGAATTGATCATCATGTTAAAGCAGAGGGAATAAAAACCTGAGAGTGAGAGGCCATCTCGACTGTTGTCGTCCTTCAGGCGCGGCGGTGGCGTTACAGTTGTCGAGGTCTTGCTTCGGATTCACAACTGAAGAAGAAGATAAGTATGCTTTCGAGTTATGACTTTCATTGCGGTGAGTAAAAGCGTAAGGAAAAACGATGACTCCATCTCTGGGCCTTACTGGGCCGGGTCTCTCATCCCATTTCACCTCAAGCTTTTATCAGCTTAACTGAAGTAAATGTAGCCCATTTTTAATCTTCACTATATCTACTTAGACCATCTCCAACAATAGATATGGTGTTAAAGTTCTAAATCAATTTTTTAATTGAAAATAATCAAACTAAAAATTTTAGATACTTGCTTAGTTTTAACATCTCTAATGATGGAACCAACTAAAAATTCTAAGTTTCAAAAATAATTAGGTTTAATTCTTTTTTTAAAAAATATTACCTTATCAGAAAGTGACACCTATTTATTTAAAAGTGATTTCAAAAATAAGAAGTGATTTTATTTTTGGAATCATATCTATGTAATTTTATTTTTTTAAATTTTCAACATATAATTACTTATAACCAACACATAGAACCTTTACAGATACTCTATTGGAGATGGTCGAAGATGCATGCATGACTAGAAGCGGCACAATTTACCTTGGGCTTGGCTTACATGTACTTCAATTAAGGACTTCTTCTTCTACAAGACCTATTCTTTACCTTTTCTAGTTAAACTTAAATATAATGATTTGACTATCTTGTAGTTTTAAACTATATAATGTTATCCAGAGCTAAATACGTAATTAGCAGAGACATAAATAGACAAGCAAACGACGGGTCTTCTTATTTGATTTCATACAATAAGCCTTTTTAGCCTATATCACTATCTGTACTTTAGATTGTTTTCGTCAAATTATATGTAACTGTTTTCCATGTGTGTATGTGCTGTGTTGTGATCAGCTTAGCAGAGTGGCTTGTGAAAGTCTCCAAAATCATACATAGTTGACATTTAATATTTGATTTATGTAATAAAGTAACAAAAAAATGTGAAAGAGAATGATGTGTATACTGTGGAACTGGCATGGCAATTGCAGCCGTCTACAGCTTGGGGCATCAAAATGTAGGAATGATGTGTTCATATATTTTATGTTGGTAGATATTTTTTTAACAAATATTAATAAAGTAAATGGACCAATATTTAGGGATAATGTTAGTTTGTGACAGCTTGTTTTCTGTTAAATTTTCAATTGGGAGGCGAGGCCTTTTTGAGCTGGATAGATGATCACGAAGGAGAATTTGTTTATAGATATATATATAAATATGCAAGGAACTACTAGACAATGACAAGTCTTGCTTTGATTCTGTCAACATTAACCTGAGAGGATCCCAAAAGCCTCTTTCATGTAATTCACATGTGATTTTGCACCATCTGAATGCAAACATATCTCAGAAGGCAACTTGTCTCATGTTGAAAAGTTGAACCCTTCTTCTTCATGTACCCCACTCCTCTACGTAATTAATATATTACATATCGACTCTCTCTCCATCTCCACCATTCTTCACAGACAGCCAGCCAGAAATAATCATCATTTGTATCTGTTTTTCTTCTTCTTCAAGAAACCAGGGGAAAAAAAAAACAAATTGAGGGATGGGTTTCTTAGAGTTATTGGAAGTGGCTTCAATGCCAATCGTTCAAGTTCTCCTAATCAGCGTCCTTGGTGCTTTCTTGGCAACCGATTACTGCTCCCTCCTCTCCGCTGACACCCGAAGATCCGTGAACAAGGTAATTAACGTCCAGGCTCCATATCTCTGCTCTTTTTGTGACCATTCATGTAGTAATAGTTAATAAACATATATTCATATATATCCGTTGCAGCTCGTCTTCGTGGTCTTCACCCCCTGCATCATGTTTGCCAATCTTGCCCAGACAGTCACATTGCAGGACATTATTTCATGGTACGCACCACCCTTCTTCATGAGAACCCTATTTTGTGGCTTAACTATTCTTTTTTTTTTGTATTTTCAAACCAATTAATCAAGTTGATTTTTCAGGTGGTTCATGCCGATAAATGTTGGAATCACCTTTCTAGTAGGAGGTATCCTTGGATGGTTGGTTGTCAAACTGCTCAATCCAAAACCTCAACTTCATGGTCTCATAATCGCAACATGTGCCTCAGGTAACATTAGTTCCTCAAAATCTGTATCAGATGAGATTTATATGGAATCTAACGCGAATGAATGAATGATATATATATATATAGGCAATATGGGAAACCTTATGCTGATTCTGGTGCCTGCCATTTGTGATGAGGAAGGCAGTCCTTTTGGGAATCGAAGTGTATGCAGATCCATTGGACTATCTTACGCATCTTTCTCTATGGCCGTAAGTCAAATTAAACATATGTCATCTTCTCTGCTCAAGAGTTTTGTAATTATAGTCTGTGACTTCCGCTCTTTCTTTTTTTTTTTTTTTTGTTTGGGTCTCATGCAGCTTGGGGGTTTCTATATATGGACATACAGTTACCAACTTGTGAGAAGCTCTGCTACACAGTTCAGAGCTCTTGAAGCCGCCGCCTTGGTCAAGTCTGCCAACAAGGACATCGACGCTGGTCCCCACAGTCTTCTTCTGAAGCCGCAACAAAGTCAAGACCTTGAAATCCAAGTGAAAGAAAAGGTGTCTACGGGAGCATACATCAAGGACTTGCTCCATCAGATTCTTGAGGAACTCTTCGCGCCACCCACTATTGGTGCCGTAAGTAAAAATATATATATATGCATAATTTCATTTCTCCAGTCAATACTAAAAAAAAGATGCACGATTTCATTAGTTTTCTGTTGCATTCAGATTCTTGGTTTCGTCTTCGGAGCAACCAATTGGCTGAGGAATCTTATAATAGGGGAGAATGCCCCGTTGCGAGTCATTCAAGATTCAGTGAAACTACTTGGGTATGAAGTTGCTTGCGAGCACGTTTTTTTAGATATGGAAACATGCAACACAGACTAATATTATAAAAAATTGAATTGTCAGGGACGGCACAATACCTTGCATCACACTCATACTGGGGGGAAACCTGATTCAGGGTCTGCGTTCCTCAGCCGTGAAAACGTCAGTGATTGTGGGAGTGATCTGTGTGAGGTATATAATCCTTCCTGTGGTGGGTGTAGGGGTGGTTCAGTTAGCATGGAATTTAGGCTATCTTCCTCCGGACCCTCTCTTCCGATACGTTCTCATGCTTCAGTTCACACTGCCACCTGCCATGAATATCAGTAATTCTTCTCCCTTTTTGCTGCTGATATATATATTAACAAAGGATCATTCGATCAATCAATATAATCATATCATTTTGTGTTGTGGATTTGTAGGTACAATGGCACAGCTGTTCGACGTTGCTCAAGATGAGTGCTCGGTCATCTTTTTGTGGACATATTTGGTTGCATCCTTAGCCCTCACCGTGTGGTCAACCATATTTCTCTCCATTCTCTCCTGAATCTGATTAGCGAAAAGCAAATCCTTGTATTGGTGTATAATACAAATAATTACTATGTTTGATTTGTTAATACTCTTTAATTTGAGTACCAGTGTATTCATGTTGCAAAATAAAACAGAGAAAAAGACCTAAGTTTATGAAGTCTTGTCTCTGATTTTTTCTTTTCTAGAAATGAGAATAGACACAAATGATCCGCAAAATAAACCATTGTGTTTAATTACATTTCAGAAAACTATCAGACAGCTAGCCTACATATAATAATCCTCGTTTTGTTGTATTATATTTTTGTCAACAAAAGGTATTTTATAAAAGTAACTACAATCTAAATATATAAATTGATCTATTTAAACTTTTTAGTATGCTAGCAATTAAAGGTTCATAACATTTTGATATCTGCAAATTGGTTTTGATTTAATTGAATGGGCACTGTAAGAGCACCATTAATGGAGGTTGTTTAGAGGGTTGTTTAGGAGGAGAAGATGGCTTATTTTGAAGAGAGAGAGTGTGAAAAATGCTTAATTAAGCATTTTTCACACTCTCTCTCTTTAAAATAAGCCACCTTCTCTTCTTAAGCAACCCTCTAAACAACCTCCATTAAAGATGCTCTAAATTCTTATCTATTGAACATGGAGTCTTGTACAGAATCCCAATAAACCAAATAATAAAACTTGTAACTCTGACTGAAAATGTATATATAGAATCTATTATGTAACTTTTAACTTATGCTGTATCGGCTCAATTTATCACGCATTACAAAATTAAATGAGAGGTTTTCATTATAAGCTACACAGACATACATGATTATGCCTTAAACACCACCCCCTCCTCCCCAATGTGAATATTACATAGCTGGTCGCATTTGTTGGTTTATTATCCTAGGCCATAAATTAAATCGTCAGTGAACAATGAAAAGCCTTATAGTAATGGCACATACAATATTGGGCCTCAGTGGACCTGATTGCAGGCTTTTAAACATATAGAGAAGACGTCGCACGCGGCAGGAAATCACGTCTTCTGGAAGAAGAGAAAGGTTTATGTGGCTGGAATCGTAGTCTGAGTTCCAATGGCATCTCTTCACTCCCTCGCCGCCGTTTCTGTTATCACTACGGGCGAAAATAAAGGAACATCACTTACTTCATCTACTCTCCGATTTAAACCACGCGAGATCCCTATATTCCCAAACCATCGTAGGGTGGTGCTCAAAGGTATCACCATCTCTTCTTTCCTACTTAGTTTGTGGGGGTACAGATGCATGTATGTGTGTGGATTAGTGAGGGTAGTTGACTAGTTGTTGTTGATATGGATAGGACTGACTCCTAAGAGATGTTTCTTTTTTTTTTTTTAATAATATAAAATATTGGTGTTAGGGGGGTCAGCAATAAAGGCGCAGTCGAAAGAAACAAGTGCGGGAGATGCATTTACTAATATCAAGCATCTTCTCCTACCTGTGATTGATCGGAATCCTTATCTCTCTGAAGGCACCAGACAGGTTTGCTTTTCCACCCCCCACCCCCACTTGTGTCTGTTTCTTATAGTGAAAGAACATGTTTGGTGTGATAGGCTGCTGCTACAACAACTAGTTTGGCAAACAAGTATGGAGCTGATATCACTGTTGTAGGTAAGTCTTGCAAATTGCAATCATCGCTCTTTAAATCATTTGAGCACTGAGTTTCATTTGAATTCACTCACGGCCGTTTGCTCTTCAGTCATAGACGAAGAAAAGAGAGAATCATCTTCGGAGCACGAGACTCAAGTATCCAACATCCGCTGGCATCTAGCAGAAGGTAGTTTAGTGAATTTTTAAACTAGAAAAGAGAGCAATGAGATGAAGAAATTGGAATTGGTTGCTGTTGGCTCTCTCAGGTGGTTTCGAGGAGTTCAAGCTGTTGGAGAGGCTTGGGGAAGGGAAAAAGGCGACGGCGGTAATAGGAGAGGTGGCGGATGATCTGGGGACGGAGCTGGTAGTGATGAGCATGGAAGCCATCCACTCCAAGTTCATCGACGCCAATTTGCTTGCTGAGTTCATCCCCTGCCCCGTCCTCCTCTTGCCCTTGTGAATTTTTCTTAACCATCTTCTCCTCCTCTACTATTTCCCAATCCTTCTTTTTATATATATATATATATATATATATTGCCCGTGTAACCACATAGCAGAGGACTAGAGAGAGGGTCGAAATGTGAGATGCATGTATCAGACATCTTCTGTTTTTATTATGATGGTTCTGTGTCTCCTTTGTGGTTGTTTTTCGTAAGCCATAGTTCCCTCAATAAATTAGTTAGTCACTCTGGTTATTAACGTGTTGAGCCAATTAGGACAAAAGGTCTTCTTATTATAAGCCTAATGCACAGAATTAATGATAAATTTGCTGGCACGTACATATCAGGCGCAGGGTTTTGTAAACTGGAAGTTTGATACGGTATAAAATGTATCTGAACAAGAAAGAAATAAGAGGGAGAATAAAAAAGTTGTCAGGATTTGGAGAATGCGCGGAGCGTGGCATCCAATGCCTCTCGATCATAATCTCCCGTGAAAACGCAGTTTCCCAGCGGACCTTTCAGAAGAATCAGCCTCAGTAGTCCGTCTGCTACTTTCTTGTCCACCTGCCACACATATTTCAATGAACACTTTTGGCTCACACTTTTTCATTTACACACAAACTCACCGCCATTATGGATTTGAACATGCTGACGGTCATGCTCTCTGGCGGTGTTGTCGGCAATTTCGCTCGTATCAATATGTTGTTCACTCTCTCAACAATCGAGTAGTCTATCCAGCCAAGACGATATGACATATCCACTGCCATTACCTGACAAGTAACGTAACTAACAGTGTGAATAAGGGAGAGTTTATATAGCAGAGGAAAGATAGAAAGGAAGGAGATACCGTGCCAGCTGCAACAGCTTCTCCATGGAGCCACTCACCATACCCAAAGCCAGTTTCTATGGCCTGCATATAGAAATGATAGGTCAAGCGTGGATAACTAAGAGGGTTATAATATTCAAAAGCTACTTACATGGCCAAATGTATGACCCAAATTGAGGGTAGCTCGCAAGCCGCTTTCTTTCTCATCCTGTGACACAACATCCGCCTTGTTTTCACATGATCGTTTTATAGCATAAGCTAACGCAGCCGGATCCCTAGGAATGATCAAAGCATTTAGACACTATATAGATGAATCCCAACAGTTATTGTTTTTTGGGCAGAGCATAATCACCTAGCAAGCAGGGCCGCAATGTTCTTCTCTAGCCATTCAAAGAAGTCAGCATCCCTGATAAGTCCGTACTTGATCACTTCAGCAAGACCCGACACCATCTCCCTGTCAGGCAGTGTGTTCAAGGTGTCAGTGTCAACAAGCACACACTGTGGTTGGTAAAATGCGCCGATCATATTCTTTCCAAGAGGATGATTGATGCCTGTTTTGCCACCAACAGAAGAATCAACCTGCAAGGCAAATGATGAATTGAATTAAGCATGTTGGAAGTTATAGACAAGAAAAGATGTGAAATGAACCTGTGACATAACAGTGGTAGGGATTTGGATGAAGTTAACACCACGGAGGTAAGAAGCAGCAGCATAGCCACACATATCGCCAATAACTCCACCTCCAAGGGCAACAAATGTACAACGTCGATCTAGGCGAGACTCAATGGCCTTGTCGAAGACTTTCATGAGAGTATCCTTAGAAAGAATGACACAGTAAGTAGTCTCTCAGATGACTGACTACTAACACGAACAATATACAGTATAGTGAAAATCAAAATAAATATATAAAAAAAAAACAACCATGTTCTTGAATTTCTCTCCATCAGGGAGAATAACAGACTCCACAGTGACGTTGGGATTTGCACAATTAGTCAAAGCATGTAGAGTGTTGTCAAGGTAAAGAGGAGCAACGCGTTCATTAGTGACAACGAGCACTCTCTTTCCGTGAACATGCCTAATTTCAATTCATTCAACAAACAAACAAAAAGAAAATCTAATAATTAATGAGGCTCAAAACAAAAGCATTGGCCGCTTAAATTAGCTCACCTACTTATATCACTTTGCATCACCTTTGAAGAAGTTGTGGTTGATGGAGCAACCCGGCACCAATATAGATGGGATAACTCCGGTTACCCAAATCAACCTCGACGACTGTGGGAGGAGTCATGGAGAGCTGGCTCGTACATGATCGAACCGGAGACATGGAGATAGATGTAGAAAAAGACTTTGAAGGGAAGCAAATGGGAATCAAGCAGCCGCGGGAGTGGAGAGTACTCTTCGAGACGGCGAAGGTGGTGGAAGGCGAAATGGTGTTGGCAGCCATGGAAATCACACAAGTCGAGAGAGAGAGTAGAAGAGAAGGGGTTGGGTTTAGGGTTAGTAAAGAGTGAAGAGGAATACAAAGAATGGTCGGATCCTGCAAACCACGGTCTTAATTTGGTATTTCTGCTATATGGGCGGTCCAGATGCGGACACGTCACATAACTAAATTGGAAAACACTGCGATGAATGAAGAGAGGAGCTAAAGCTAGCATTATAGCGAGATTGAAGAGCAAGTAGTCGACACGCCGGTAATGCTCAGTAAACCCTAGTTGATTGGGAAAGTAAATAAATAATATGCGAATCCGAGATCAAGGTTCCCGGGCGGGTGGTAACAGAACCAATCCTAGAGATCAGAAAGCTGACTTTCACGTAAACAAGGCACCAGTTCTCTATCTCTCACTAGGTTACATGTACGTCTTACACTTGTTTTTGCGTATTTATTATTCACTCTGAGTTTGATCAGATCGAAGCTCTCCTGATCCAGTTTTATTGCTCTTTCAACCAGTATCAATTTTTGAGATATTCATCCTCTATGCTCTCTTGTTGAAGCGGTCATGCAGAAGACGGATTTGTGGGTTGACATATACAGTTCTACCTACTCACAGGCAAAGCTGGAGTCTGGACAATCTGCTCTTATATATCCATTTGGTTGCCTCTATCCTTGGAGTCACAACGTATGAGTGGAACCTTCCTATTCCTTATACTCTCTGGCAATAACATGTGCATAACTCAATTTCTGGTACTCTACCGGCCATTTCCTCTTTCTTAATTAATTTTACTTACTCAGTCTTGGCACTGATTATCTCCACATTTTGGTTAATTCTCCTAGGACTCGATTACACATTGAATCTTTGAAAATATATTTTGTTACAAAAATAAAGGTTTATTTATCAAACTATTTGCTATGTGTGAGTGTTCGTTGTTCTTTCGTGATGTTTTGTCTGCTATATATCAGTTAATGCTGAGATAAGACGTGTGTGTGTGTGTGGCAAACAAATCGATAGGAACAGTGTTTGGAGATATATTTTGATCTTAGATTAAGCTCATGCATCATGGCAAATAAGATAGTAGATCCAGGTCTATATATATATACTTAATTTTTTATGTTAGCATGTTGATTTTAAATGGAATCCCTTGTTCGAAAGTTGTATAATTTTAAAATATTGAATCCAAATCCCATGCATGGTAGAATGGAATCCACTGGACGTGGCTTTTGACTTCTTTTTTTGCTTTTGTCTTTTACGTAATGACAGATAAAGAAAGGAAGAATAATACGCCACCATCGTCCTCATCCCTACCTAACGCCTTATCCAATACAATGACTCACTCCTTCATGGGGTCGTTCGTTGCGCAATTCCATCACCATTTAACTTTCTTCCAATATTCCCGATGGGTCTATCACTTTCGTTCCTCCTTCTCTCCTTATTTCAGTTTCTTTCTTTCTCGTCTGAATTCATTTGATCAACAAAATGAGACTTGTATATTATAGGGTCATCAATTTGTTTGTTTGTTTTCTTCTTTTTTGGGGGTTAAGTTATGGTCATCAATTAAATTATAAGAGCATGATTATTGCAGGTCCCTTAAGTTGGGTCTCTTAGCGTACAGTCCCTTAAATCCTTTATATAAGGGACGTCCCTTAGCGTTTTCAGTTAAAAGCTAAGGGACCGTACGCTAAGGGACCCAACTTAAGGGACCTGCAATAAACATGGTCTAAGTACTACAGTAGTTGTTCCACTCATTTTTCTTTCATTATTTTAAATTGGTGGGAACTGAACACGTTAATGTAGGCTTTGGGCCCACTCTACCATAGCTGTCCATTGTCTGTGAGGCTTATCTTTATATTCTCTATTCTACATTTCAATTTGCCAAGAAATTTCTGGTAAATCATATACCATTTATACATTTACTATTCAATATTGACCATGTGTAAAGTATAAATGAAAAAAATAATAGTAGTTTATCTGTTAGTGGTCTCTGCTTTGTGAGTTATTTATTACTCTCTGCTCTCTTCCTAAAGCTTCATCCTTTTTCTCCTGGCAAGAAGGTATAGAGAAGATGTTTCCATCAGTCTGCAGCTCAAAGCCAGAAGTTGTTACTGTTGATGTGAGCCAAGCCAAGACTCTCCTCCAATCTGACTATCAATATCTTGATGTTAGGTGGGCTCATTCATCATCATCACTATATATATATATATATGCATGTACCCGCAATTCAAGCTGTTATTAGTTACTACTTGGCACATGCAGGACTGAGGAAGAGTTTCGGAGAGGCCATTGTCTTACACCTAAGATCCTCAACGTTCCCTACATGCTCAACTCCCCTCAAGGTAATCAAAATATATAAATCAAATTTGCAGTCATTGTCAGTTAAGAAACTAAGATACTTGATATATATAAGACCCCCCTTGTGATATTGTAATACAATAGGAAGAGTGAAGAATCAAGACTTCTTGGATCAAGTGTCTTCTCTTCTCAACCCCACTGATGATATACTTGTGGTAATATCTCTTTTCTTCCTCAACACACACACACACATATCCCCACAAGAGCACTTGTTTATTTTTCTCTTTAGCTGTTTTTTTTTTTTGGCCATGAAAGGTCAAAAAACTTGGTAAGATGGGAGAGTAGTTAATCACAATGAAAAGTCAAAGATTTGATGTTAGTCATGTGCTCGCATATTAATTTGAAATCGATCTTGATAAGCACAGGGTTGTCAGAGTGGGGCCAGATCCTTAAATGCAACAGCTGAACTTCTTGCTGCTGTAAGTCATCATCCCCCTAATTTGTTTTATCTAAAATAATAACACTCACCCACTCCGATTATAGTGTATTAATAAAGCAATGAATCATCTTTTAATGTTAAAAAAAAAAAAAAAAAGGGTTTCAAGAAAGTGAGAAACGTAGGAGGTGGCTATCTGGCTTGGGTGGATCACAACTTTCCCATCATCAAGGACAAGGAGCAGCAGCAATCTACAAACTAAT